CAAAAGGACTCCGAAATTTTTTTTTTTTTTTTTCCTACCTATGCTGATAGCCTTGAGAGGCTATTTCAGCTTCGCCCTAACGTTTGTAGGTGAGCTCACGGGGCTCAACCGGAGTGTTGCTAACACTGACCCTAGCAAGAGCAGTGCTTCGCAGAATCTACCACCGGATCGGAAACGCGACCCACTGAGAAGATCCGGCGAGAAACTCAGTGGGCTGTGTCTATGGNTTTTTTTTTTTTTTCCTACCTATGCTGATAGCCTTGAGAGGCTATTTCAGCTTCGCCCTAACGTTTGTAGGTGAGCTCACGGGGCTCAACCGGAGTGTTGCTAACACTGACCCTAGCAAGAGCAGTGCTTCGCAGAATCTACCACCGGATCGGAAACGCGACCCACTGAGAAGATCCGGCGAGAAACTCAGTGGGCTGTGTCTATGGGTTAGTTCGCTCGTCGAGCCCTTCGTCGCAAGCGACGGGTTCGACGAGGACGGTGACCGGACTCCGAAACAGTGCGATGTATTTGAGACTTTAATATTGAATAGGTAACGCCATCTGTTAGCTATCTGGAAAACAAAAAATTCCACAAAACAGTGTGCTTAGTGCGAGCTTATTAGTTTTGAGAATGTAGTGTATAACTCCTCGAGGTCACTAGAATAGGTAGAAAAAAAAACGAGTTTTTTAATATTCTCGATAGCGTAAAAGATAACTCAAATTTGTATGGAATTGGAACAGTGCCCCTAGCGGCAAACGTACACAAGCACAACGAACAGACTTCTACAAATTAAGAAAATGCAGAAGTAATACTATCGATTTTGGACAAAACATAATAAAAAACTCATTTTTAAGCCGATTAAGCCATCGAAGTACTCAAATTATATTTGTTTCGAAATACTAAATTAAAATGTTACAAATAATTTTAAATTTCTTTCAGCGACATCTATTAGCCCTTTACAAAACTAAAAAAGCCAGCTTCAAGTACCATTATGGTACCATAGACTAAGGATGAACTCGTAATATGTAAGCGTCTAAATAAATTTATTTATTTAAGAATCAGTATCAAGAATTTATTGATCTCATCACCAGCACTACGAAAGCCACCGCAGTACAATGTGTTCGCAATGCTAACAGTCGCCTCCAACTGAGGAATATCGGTCATCGTTCTCGTCGTAGCTGTCGCTTGACGAAGGGCTCGGCGAATAAATAAACCCACAGACACAGCCCACTGAGTTTCTCGCCGGATCTTCTCAGTGGGTCGCGTTTCCGATCCGGTGGTAGATTCTGCGAAGCACGGCTTTTGCTAGGGTTCGTGTTAGCAAGGTTTGAGCCCCGTGAGTTCACCTACTGGTTAAGATTATGCTGATATGGTCTCTCTAGACCATCAGCTCAGGTAGGAAAAAAATATATGGAGGAACATAGCTCGACGTGTGGCTGCCTTGGAAGCGAGCGGCGACGGCGAGACGCAACCCTGTCCATCGACAGCCACGACTATTCGGCCAAGCGTATCTAACTAGGAAGAAAAATCAACAAAATAAACGCAGAGTACATACATTTTTGAACATAATTAATTACCCACACGTAAACAAGACAGGTGCTGGTGTAAATTACTGCCGTGAAGCAGTAATGCGTTTCGGTTTGAAGGGTGGGGCAGCCGTTGTAACTATACTGAGATCTTAGAACTTATATCTCAAGGTGGGTGGCGCATTTACGTTGTAGATGTCTATGGGCTCCAGTAACCACTTAACACCAGGTGGGCTGTGAGCTCGTCCACCCATCTAAGCAATAAAAAATAAAATAAAGAAAATAAATGACGCTAACACCCACAGGCCTTTATTTTAGGAGTGAAGGATTACCGGTGTGGAATTCGACAAGTATGGTTACCAGCCTGCTCTTTGTGTTAAAGCTGAAGACATCTGAAGAACTATTGGATCTGATGGATCCGATAGGTATCCGTGATGTCGTATATAAGGCCTCGAGATGGTGACTGACTTCTGGTAGAATTCGGGCGGCAGTCAGCGGCGGCAATGATAAGGTGATTGTCATGACGCATAACTTTATCAAAGTATCGTTCCGACGTTGATTTCATGTGTTCACAGATCGATTAGAAGCCCAGGTCGACGTGTAGGTCGTCGCTCCTACGAACCACGGAGCTCCGACTGCTAAACTGCAAAAGCGGGATCGTACGAATGTGAGGATGTCTATGTGCGCGCGGGCCGCGTGAGCGAACACCACACTCGTGTAAGTCACGACGGGCCTCATGCAAGTTTTGCAAAGAATCAATTTATTTCGAAGGGACATATTATTCCGCTTACAGATCATAGAATAAATTCTGCTGACAATAAACGCGGCGCGGTTATGGACTGATTTTATATGTGGGCGGAATATCATCGATTCACCCAGAGTGACTCCCAGGTACTTGAGCTTTCTGGCTTAGGATATTGGTTGGCCAAAGAAGATGAGCGGGGTGACCCACAAGCCATATCGAATGAGTATACGGAAAACCTTATAAATTTACTTCGGACTGCTATTCAAGAAATATTCACAACAGTAGGATACAAAGAAGAGCATTTGAAAAGTACTTATTAAAAAAATCCAATATTGAATACATTTGAAAGAAATTTAAAGTTAAAGAACTTAAACAACAAAGTAAAAGTAAAAAATAAAAGATAATTTTATCCCCATTTTTCAAAGTATTCATATCTTATAAATCAAATTCATCTTATTTCATTCATATATTTATCACTGTATTTTTTTTATAACAGAATATTTAAAAGAGTAGGCTGTATGGTACGATAACTTTGCCTTTCCGATTGTAATTTGTTTATGGTCCAATGCGTCTTTTCATTTTCATAGATTATACACATTAATAATTGAGAGTAGGGATGGCGATTCTTTACGAAAAAGATCGATTTTAATACATCGATTCACAAAAAAATCGAGATCCAAAATATCGATTCCTTAAAAATCGATTTTTTTCAAGTTTGCACTTACAATGTAAATATAAGTCCATTTTATGAAAAACAAAATAAATACCATAATAAATGATGTCTTATCGGTAAAATCACGGATTTTTTTAGTTCAGGGGATTCGTTAATAACATTTATAGAAGATAATTATATAATTATTATATAAAATATATAAAATAATTTGTATTACCATGTCAAAGTATTAGGTCAGGTTTAAAAGAAGATATTTATTGATGTGAAACATCTGTAGCCGCACGTAAAACCGATTTCTGGCGTGGTGACGCATGCCGTGGCGACGCGTCGCCACCTTGTATGACGGTGTATATATATATACAGTTTATATGCAGTTGTGTGTACGATGTGGCGACGCGTCGCCATGCGCAATCGACTATGCGATTCTCTCCCACTCGATCCGGCGTTAAGCCATCTCTCTCGCTATACTGAGCTCGGATACCTATAGTGTATACTCCGTAGTGTATACAGTATTGTTTACTACAGTACACATAGTCTGTGTTTTACTTGAAAACAAATTATTTTTTCGTAATATTTTATTTTATCATTATGACATATTTAGTTCCTATCACAATCTGTTCTTTTCTGCATATTACTTTTACAAAATAATGACGATATTTCACATCTGCCAGGCATCCCGTGACGGCTCACATTTTTTTCTAAATATATTTTTTTAATTAAATAGTGAAGAAAATAGATAATTCAGCTTATAGCGAATTTTCGAGTCATTAACTGTTTAACCGAGAACACCGTATTATTAAGGGTACATTCAACCAATCTTCTATCATCTATCCTCTATATTATATTATATTATATTGTATTTTTTTTTTTAGGTGGGTGGCGCATTTACGTCGTAAATGTCTATGGGCCCCAGTAACCATTTAACACCAGGTGGGCTGTGAGCTCGTCTACTCGTCTAGCAATTAAAAAAAAAAGATATAAGTTCTAAGGTCTCAGTATAGTTACATCGGCTACCCCACCCTTCAAACCGAAACGCATTACTGCTTCACGGCAGAAATAGGCGGTGTGGTGGTGCCTACCCGTGCGGACTCACAAGAGGTCCTACCACCAGTATATGTCGGGGGCGGCTTGGATCACAGAGCACACCCACAGCCTTTGTCGGCGCGGGCTGTCGGCCCACTTGCAACGTTCAACGTCAAGCATTCGTGCTCGGACCATCGAACAGTTCGGACCTCTGTTACGCTGCTTGTGAAAATACACGAAGTTACTCGTAAAGTTTTCTTTTAATATGAGCCATCACGACAATACCAACAATCGTGACGTCTGCTTTGCTGAGGTCACACATTTTAAAAACACAGCGGATGCTCCTCTTCAGTTTTAAATTATATTTATTATTATGTATTATATGTCGGAGGCGGCGCCAGGGATGGCTAAGCGGTAGTTTTCGTCATCACTCGTATTTGGTTGAACTCAGTTTATAAAAAGTCAATAAAACCTTTTGAATAATAATTATTGAAACTCAACACACACAACTTTCACAATGACAGGATAAACCGACAGTTTCGTTGCACATACCGACAGACCGACTGACTGACTGACTGACTGTCAGAGACTCACTGACTGAGACGGACGGGATGACTGTCTGACACGGAATGCTACGACTCTGTCCACGTACCGCCATTTTATACTGTGGCGTTACGGAGTCTACCCTTCGTTTTGTGATATTTATCAAAACAACATTTCATCATTTAAAATAATAATCAAAACCACCGTCTTAATATTACTAAAAGTCGTTATCCACGACATATATATAATATATAAGTATTAAAATAGATTAAATCAAAATAAGTATAAATTTAACTTTTGAAAAATTAGAGCGCGCGGTTCGCGAAATTCTTAATCGAAATTCTTAATTGGAAATAATTTTATGGTTTTTCAAGGGTGAAATATCAATTCACTGATTGATTCAGAACTACCTATCGATTTAAAAAAATCGCTTTTTTGCTTGAAAAATCGATTTCTCATTTAATCGATCGCAAATCGCCATCCCTAATTGAGAGTATTGAGACGTCTTTTCATGGTCTTTTTGTTGCTGCTCTCCAAATTTTGGTTTGCTTGGAAAGAAAATTACTGTTCTAAATATTTTGCATTTAAAGTACTATATACCTAATTGAATTTATCATAATAGGTGACATTCCACAGTCTGTGTTGAAACTTTAAACAATGAATTCTACAATTTGATTAAATACAACGTAACATACCGTAACATAACCTATGTTATGTTAAATAGAATTTTACCAAGAACGTGTAGTTTACTTAATTCTGCATCATATAATTTTCGTCATTACTGTTTGTCAAGTATTTTAAAGATGAAGGTATGTAAAATATTTTAATCATTTCCCTTCATGAATGTATTGCTCAGCACTAAATAGCAATAAGGTTACTTTTTTATGAAACTCCTTCCCAATTTTGATATTTTAAAAATCCTAAGATTTACATATAATATACTTAATAATGTTTGAAAATAGGATTTTTTATGGCTTTCTGACAATATCAGTTATAACACTTACAACCTTATCATGTGAACATACATGTCGAGATCAATCCAGAACCAGGTACAAATCATACGAACATTCCGTAACAATAATTAATTTTTATATACAGATATTAAAAATAATACAATTAGCAATTACTCCCCCATTCCAGGCATAAAAAGACTGTTTAAAAATGCTTCTATGTCTAGTGATATTTTCATCCTCTATCACCTTCAACATCTTTGAATCGATAATTTTAGTTACATATGGATCCGTCGGCCACGTCCAACATCCTTCAATCCTTTTATTCAGTGTTCAACCACACTGAATATGGTGTTTAGCAGATTTTTTTGATGCGTCCTGGAAAAAGACTTTCTTCGTCTTGAAACACGCAAAATGTTCCCACTTCATACCATTCTTTTTGGGCAGCTGTAACTAGATTTCCACTGGTCTTAATTGGTATTCTTCAATTATTGTCACCAACTCTTTATCATTGTTAGTGACATCTATCTCCATTACTCGTTTATTCTGTTGCATTTAAATTGTTGAATTTTTTCATTTATTTCTTGAGATTCAGTAGGAGTGGCGATAGTCACCTCTGCCACAATTTGTGGGATTGGAGTATAGGATAGTATATCATCCACAACCTATTCTTCAATTCTGTCCATTTTGGAAGTAGGGCTTTTCCGTTCATTGTGTTCTTGAGTTGTTGTTACTATTAATTGAAAGGATTCATTTTGTGATGCTTCGCACTCTGGCTATTGATTGTAGAATTACTGTTTAATTAATAATCTTTTTTTTTTTATATATTTTTTTTTATTGCTTAGATGGATGGACGAGCTCACAGCCCACCTGGTGTTAAGTGGTTACTGGAGCCCATAGACATCTACAACGTAAATGCGCCACCCACCTTGAGATATAAGTTCTAAGATATAGATCTATAGTTACAACAATAGAAGATCTATAGTTACAACGGCTGCCCTACCCTTCAGACCGAAACGCATTACTGCTTCACGGCAGAAATAGGCAGGGCGGTGGTACCTACCCGTGCGGACTCCCAAGAGGTCCTACCACCAGTGTTTACGCAAATTATAATTTTGCGGGTTTGATTTTTATTACACGATGTTATTCCTTCACCGTGGAAGTCAATCGTGAACATTTNCTACCACCAGTGTTTACGCAAATTATAATTTTGCGGGTTTGATTTTTATTACACGATGTTATTCCTTCACCGTGGAAGTCAATCGTGAACATTTGTTGAGTACGTATTTCAATAGAAAAATTGGTACTCGCCTGCGGGACTCGAACACCGGTGCATCGCTCTACGAATGCACCGGACGTCTTATCCTTTAGGCCACGACGACTTGTATAAACTATCACTTCAATTTGGCCACCAAGTTCAGGTGTTACTTCTTTTTCTATCTCTGATTTCTTCATTGTTTTTTATGTTTTATTTATTTTGTTGGGATGGATGAAATATCCAATAGCATTGCCAGCAAATACTATAGTAAAACAAGATATACTGGAATTTTTCACCAGTTCTGTCCTATGTATTCAACCTCTTTTTCTAACCTCTTGAAGAATTCGTTCACCATATCTTCATTTACTTGGGTGCCTGTATGGGAGATGTTATGTGCAATTTTTCTTTAATAGCAGGATTTTGTTCGTATCTAGGACTATTATCTTTGAAAATGGGAACTGTTATGCCTATGTTATCTAAGTACCTTTTAACTAAAACGTTATGTTAAGACTAGACTAAGACGTTATTAGTCTAAAATCTTGTAAGCCAATCAGAATGCTCCTGTTGCTTAGTGCAAGCAAATGCTCCCTAAAAATAATCTCTTCTTCCATTGATAAACAAGTAGGATGTCCCATGGGTTTGTTATGTTGATTTTTAAGTTTCAGATTAATTGTGCTTGTAGGTATATTACAAAACTTGCAAACTTATCTTTGGCTTAATACTCCAGACCTAATTTTTTCAATTGTTTCATTTAACATTTCTTTGGTGTAATTATACCATATTTTCATACATCTGGCTCTTTTATAATTACTTTTTCGTGGCATTCTACTAACATTGGGAAACGCATACAAAAAACTGTAGCAGTTCAACTCGAAACATTTTCATCTAAAATGACACATTCTAATGATTTAAATGTTGTCAGACTAAAGACAAAAATATTGCCAATGTAAAATTATACTAAAAAATATGAATACTTTGGTAGTTTTTGCTTAACAGGGTTTTAGATTTTTTACCAAGAATTTTTATTTAATTTCTATTTACCCAGGGGATCCTATTCACCCTGTTATGCGGTATATGAAATAGAAGGTGTGTAATTTTTTTTATCCAGATTGGGACTCACGACGGAGTATTCCACTGCGATGAAGTTCTAGCTTGCTTTATGCTAAAGAATCTTCCTCAATACAAAGATGCTGAGATCATCCGCACAAGAGATCTAAATAAGCTGAATGACTGTGATATAGTTGTTGATGTAGGAAGTGTTTTTGACCATGAAAAGAAGCGTTATGATCATCACCAAGCCGGTTTTAATGAGACCTTGAGTACCTTGAGGCCTGAACTCGGAGACAGCTATAAAATTAAGTATGTAGTAGTATATAGTACTTTATTTATTAATTTAAGTTAGTAATGTTTTTTAATTCTTAGTAATATTTTTTGTTCATAAATATCAACAGGATGAGAACCATAACTTTATTTTAAAAAAAAAACAAGCTATTAAGATCATTAGCAAACAACAATAAATGCTCAGGCAGCATGAGTTATCTACATATTGAGCCTGGGTGGCAGGATTCACATTATAAATGTCTCTGATTGTCTATGGGTTCTGTTAATAAGTACACCAGATGAGCCGTGAATTCATTCAATGTAGCCAATAAAAAATTAAACTTACTGGCTTAGCTATTAAATAGATAAGTCATATACAATGTTCATATCAAATATGTCGTATCTCTTTTCAGACTTAGTTCAGCAGGCCTTGTGTATGCTTACTATGGAGAGGACATCATCCAGCAACTCAAAGAAGAGTCTACCTCCTTGACAAATGAAGACTTGAAGTTAATTTACAAGAAAGTTTATGAATCTTTCATTCAAGAGATTGATGCTATTGATAACGGAATTCCAATGACAGAGGAACAACCGAAATATGACATTCATACTCACTTAAGTAACAGAGTGAAAAGACTGAACCCAGAATGGAATTCAACTCAGGAAACCAATGTAGATGAATTCTTCAATAAAGCAATGGCTTTAGTTAGTGAAGATTTCCTATATTTTACAAGATACTACATAAACACTTGGTTTCCAGCCCGAAATTTGGTCAGGAAAGCTATTGATAATCGTTTTGAAATACACAAGTCAGGAGAGATTGTGGTATTCAATGAAAGGTTTCCTTGGAAATATCATTTGTTTGATTTGGAACAAGAATTGGGGATTGAGCCGCAAATCAAATATGTGCTATTCAATGATAAACCAAAATCTTGGAGAGTTCAAGCTGTTCCAATTGATCCTATGAGTTTTGTTCTTAGGTAATATAGATTAATTAATTTATTTTTTATCAAGCTCCTGCTCCTTGTTAAGATGGGATGGTAAAAGGACATGGTACAGCACTTTATCAAACATATGCATTCAAAAAAATCTTACGTTTTGCACCCAATATGGAGAATTTAATATTCCCTCAATATTAGCATACTTATAACATGATAATTGACCAGCAATTACTACTGATAAAATAGTCATATGTATTATTTTGAAGTAAGAGGCTCAATAATCACTAAATTCTACTGTGGTGGAAACTTGGGTTCCACTTTCAACTAAATGTGTAAAGATAATAATTATTTGTTTATTGATTAAAATTATGTAAATGTGCTTAATGTTTTAGGAAAGCATTACATAATGCATGGCGTGGAATCCGTGACGATAATCTCAGTTCAGTCTCTGGGATTGAAGGATGTATTTTCTGCCACAGCAATGGTTTTATTGGTGGTAATACCACATTGGAGGGAGCTTTGAAAATGGCCATTGCCAGCCTAGAAGCCAACGAATGAAATAAAACTTTGGTTAGTTATTTGTTTTTTTGTTTTTCAAAAACCTGCAGCATTGCATGCAATTATTCAGTTTCGCATGTCACCATAAAAGTATTACAGGTTTCAATATGAAATTGTCGTTTTGAATACCAAGAAGCAATATGGGAATGAACTGTCAGTTCTGTATTTTGAGTTTTTTATCATATCGCACCATCGTTGGACCAAGAACATAATTGCAATTTTTGTAATTTGTACAGGAGAGCCATATAAAAATATTTTTTGCATTTAATTTGATCTTGCTCTATTAATATTGCACTAAAGTAGTTCTTTTTGGCATGACATAAAGCATATTATGTCATTCTCAGACATGTATTACTCATTTCTTTGCGGCTAAAACAACTATCAGAATAAAATATGATGTCTGTATCAGGTTGCTTATTAGTAATATCTTCCAAAAACTTATAAAGGCATGTTCCTATCTCATTAGCTCCACATTTTGCAAGACCTTTATGTCAGAAAAAGCATAATTTGTATCATCGTTGATATTTGAAACCTTAAACTAAAATAAATAATTAATTCAGTGGAAGACTGAGGTATATTATAATTATAAAGTTAAATTAAAAAAAAATAGCAACTCCTACCGTAAAATTGTAGTAGTTGAGCTTTGACTTATAAAAAAAGCTGACGATTGGCCAACTGGTTGTAGGACTTCTTATGAGTTTGCACGGGTAGGTACCACCATCCTGCCTATTTTTACTGTGAAGCAGCAATGTGTTTCAGTTTGAAGGGTGGGGCAGCCGTTGAAACTATACCTGAGACCTTAGAACTTATATCTCAAGGTGGGTGGCGCACTTACGTCATAGATGTCTATGGGCTCCAGTGACCACTTAACACCAGGTGGGCTGTGAGCTCGTCCAACCATCCAAGCAACAAAAAATTTTTTTTGGTAAGACTGTAAGTCAAGTATGATTACTATATTATTAGAATCTCTCAATTTGCTTTGTTCTATATCATTTTCAAGTTCCAACCGGGCCACACTTTTTCTTCAAGGTGTAATTTATGCTTATTCATCAATGGTACTTTGTCGACGGCGTTTTTGTATGCTTCGCATTCATCGCATTGGTCTTTGCGAGGTGCAAATAAGCCTAAATTAAAATGAGTCTTAAAAATTGGATGGTAAGCGTCATAATTGATAGTTGGTCTGCTAACTTTTTGTCTGAGTCTTTGATAGCTGTATAAAATTTGACACCCTTGGTCCCATTTTTAGGTGCTGTGATCGCAATTTTCACAATTTTACAGTGATTTTTTTAATAATGTTATCTCATATAACAGTGCTATTAATCGTAACCACAAATGAAAGTAATAATCATTGTTAACTAAGTAAAATAAATTAAATTTTGACGAGTTATGGTTTATAAAATTTATATCAGTCAAGTTTGACACTCGACGTTGGAAAAAAAATGTACTACACTACCTATGGCAAGTTTTTTTAAAAGATGGCCCATTTAGTCTAGATTTCAAAATAGTACAACACTTGCCACTTTTCTTGGCTATAAAACTGCTAATTCGTATTTTTTGCGAAAGGAACTCCTGGCAAATTTAATCAAAATAAAACGGTAAATTATCGTAAGACTTTATTATCCTCCTAAAACTAAAGCAGATGCTCAAATTGTTTCCCTCCAGCACGAATACAAGCTCTGCATCGCCTCAGAAATGACCTGTTCACCAGTCTTGCAAATCTCCTCGCATTGATTTCTTCTGATGCTGCATCAATTTTTTGGCGCAATTCTGTTACATTTTTAATTGGTTTTGAGTAGACCTTTTCTTTTATGCATCTCCAGTAAAAAAATCTACTGGATTCAGGTCTGGGGAACGAGGGGCCATGAAATTGGTCCAAAGCGTCCGATCTATTTACCGGGATATAATTCGTTTAAATATTCTCTTACAGGCCGGGCATAATGTGCTGGGCAACCATCTTGTTGATACATTTCTCTGTAGATGTTGAGTGGTACATCTAGCAATGTCGGTAAATCATTTTGAAGAAAATGCAAGTAGGTGGCGCCATCTAAATTTCAGTCAACTCAAATGGTCCCAATTATTTGACCATTTAATATTCCTGTCCACATGTTGACTTTAAATTGGTACTGGGATCGATCCTCACGCATCAAATGCGGGTTTTCCGTATGCCAACCATGAAGGTTATGTAAGTTTAAATAACCATCTCTTTTAAACGTCGATTCGTCAGTGCACAAAACTTTATTTAGAAAATCCGGATCTTCAGGAATTTTCGCTAACATGGTTCTGCAGAAATCAACTCTGGGTGCGTGATCACGTGTTAACAAGCTCTGCACACGTTGTCCATGGTAAGGATGAAAATCGTATCGTTTTAAAATTCGATGTGCGGTACTCTTTGCCACACCCGTTGCAATTTCAATCGCCCGTACTGAGGTACTGGGGTCATTTTCAACTTCATTCAAAACTTCAGCGTCGTAGTTTCCTTGAGGTCTCCCACCAGATGTACGAGCACTGGGTAATCGTCCTTCCGAGTATGATGCGTGCACATTTTGGATAAATCACTTTGATGTCCTTGTAGGTGTAGATGACTAAGTTGCAGTATGCTCTGCTTGAGCAGAGCCCTTTGATTTGATAATAAGATGGGCATATTTTTTAGAGACAATATTCCTTGCATTTTTCCAAGTAAGGCACTGTTATTATATTAATTTCATGTCTTGTCACATAGCTCCACTAGCTAATCATATCCATTAGCATATTTTGTTAGAGCAATTTTTTCATTTAGTAAGCCATGGGTTTGTTGTTTCAAAAGAATTGTTTTAAAGGCATGTGTGAATTAGGAAAACTAATTATTAAATTTCTAATGTATTATAAATTTCTTTTTTAAGACTTTTCAGAGGATAAAGCTGAAATATTACCTTAATTTTCTGCTAACTCATTTTTTCTGCGTGGTCTGGGGTACCATTGGGATTTCTTTGGTATATGGAATTGTAATTTTTGTGTACACACTTCGTGGAGAAGTATAAACTGTTCATGCACTATATTCTCAATTGCTAGTAGGAGGACAGCAACATTTTTACAAACTGCATTCGCACCACTTCCCGCAGGACATTCACATTGGGATTCTACAGGATTTCTATTTTTAAGCTTGATATTAACTTCATACTGCAGGCTCTTTATCGTTTTCCTGCAATATCCTTTATCATAAGTATATTCCCCAACGACAGACAACCTGGCCGGAATAAATTACCGGCATGTATAGAAATAATCAACTTTATTATTGTAATGGGGTTGGCAATTGCCAAAGTGGCGCTAGTGTGGATGGTTCTCATAACATTCACTATTCGTATGGGCGTTTATGATTAAAAAATAGTTTTATACATAATGACGCATTGGTTTGTGCCAAAATGTTCAGAAATTAGAGTACATCGCTTTCCGAAGGCAAGAAAAATAGAAGACTGGTTAAAGGCTATTCGACGCGAAAAAAGTACTCCCTCAAACAGTTCGAGACTATGTCGTAAACACTGGAAAAAGGTTATTGATTTTTTATTTGGAGAAGTTTGCATAGTTATAGTACAGATATTTATCATACAATGTTTTTTTTGAAAACATTATCATAAAAGGTATCGGTATATACCTTTTTTTTTTTTTGGTCAGGAGGAAATCGCCGGACTTCCGCCCTCCCCTGGGGATGGAAGGCGGGGCATGTCGGAGTCGAACTGACTAAAACCTCCTGTCGCTCAACAACCCGCGTCCGAACCTCGCATGAGACAGAACCCATGAAAAGGCAAAGGGGGGAAAGTGGAGCGCTTAGTGTGGAGCACATCTCTCCCATCACCCTCCCCCTCGGGACGCCGGACCAGCGGTCGTCGCGCCACGACCACCAGCCCTCTCGGTCGGCAGGCTATCTGGAGCCCGCCTAGATGGCGCCGGTTAGAATGGGTTATCCTACAGAATACCCCGCTGGGTCAGAACCAGCGTGGGTCGAGGATAGCCGGCCTTCCATCACCCGGATGCTCTTGCGTAAAACGCGTGCAGAGCAGCTTGCACGTCGTCTTCTTAGGCCCCCTTCGCC